GGGTTGGAAAATAATGACACTACTTGTTATTTATCTTTCTTAAATGTATGTATAACTCACATTTATTTCAGTGTTCCATATTAGATGTATTTGGGGTCTTTCTTTAGAAGTTTGGTGATTTTTTTGTGATTAGAAATATGCTAATTGACTTTTGTTTATATCAATTAGCCTGTGGTAAAACTGATTTTGTTATGTCATTTTGTTTAAAGTGGCAGTTTCCTAGAACCTACTGACATTAAATGAGGACTTACTGTAATAATGCCTGTAATAGGCCATATATATTGGACTACAGCTTAACTCTGAAAGTAACACATTATGGGCTCTAAGAAGGGTTTAAAATACATATTTGTTTTTAAAATATACAAATTTTTATCCCAAAGGCAATTTGCTATACTTCCCTTCCCCCATCTTTTTACTAAAGAAACAGAAGTAATACTATGTCTTTTGTAAAGAAGAGGACTTCAGATGCTCACTGTAGTGGATGTTGTGATATGGTGCCCAAACCTTTCCTGTTCAGGATAGAGGCATCAATGTCTCTGATGCTGAGAGTATTGGTGGCTCACAGCTCTCACTGAGTTGTTTTCAGGGGTTTGCCCTAAGCCATAGAGAGCCAACTACAGTAATTATCCTCTCTATGGGGGGTAGCTTGCAGCCAATGTCCAGTCAGTGTTAGTGTGTAAAGAGCCCATGTCCTTGCCTCAGGACTGGACAACTCTGAAGATCCAATCCAGCTCCAGAACTTGCTATGGGAATTCACTGAGGCCTTCGTTGATGGTAGTTCAACTCCTCTCTCTAGCCAACACTGAATCCTTTAATCTCTCACAGATGTTGATCCTGAGAGCACTCCATAATAAACTTTTACCACACATGTTAACATCTCAGAATTCGTTTCCTGGGAAACCAATCTAAGATAGTCATCATTTTTTTTAAAAAAAAACTTCCATTATTATAGTTATTTTCTTAATGGTCAGTAGGAGAAGATCTCGGACCTCAGACAAGTGCAATTCAGGGGCAAATTTCCCCCGTCCTGTTCTCATTGCCTTAAATATTTGGCTATAAAGGTGGAGATAAAAATTTCTGTGAAGTTAGAGCAAAACTGTGGACAGAACTTCAAAGTATTTGTTGACATGCATGGAGTGATTATTCCGTTATAACTGTGTAAGGGCATTTTAATCAAATCCAGTTAAAACCAACGTGTGCACACATGTGTGCGCATGAGACAGAGAGGACTATTATAAACTTTCATCAGATTTTAAAAAATTAAAAATATTATTTGTACATTCCTCTCTCAACTGAAATACACATTATTAAAAATATTAACAGTAATAGTCCATTCCCTAAATGTACTTAACTTGTGGTTATTTAATTTTTCCTAACACTGAAACAGCAGTTTAGTTTTCCCTTCTCTTACCCACAACTGGGATGACAAACAATCTGTGTAGAAACCAAGCATCACACTGATGCTGTTTATTCTGACTCAGGGGTCTCTTTTCTCTTCTCCCACTTCTACTCTAGCTTCAACTAATTTCCCCACGTTTACATCCAAATTTGCAATGTAAATGCAAATAAGCACAAACCATATTACTCAAGTGGTAAGGGTCACAGATTTTTTCTAAGAAAGTATTTTTAGTTTTAATTTTATTACTTTTAATTTATTTATATATACTACCACATAGATCAATTTTACATAGGTGCCTTTATATAATCGTAGCATGCTTACTTTGTTTTCTCCCTATATTGTTTGATTTCCCTTCCCTTTCCTTCTCTTATTTTGTCTACACTCCCAGCAGGAAACCTATGTCAACACCTATTCGTGTACTTCATATTATTTTCTGTACTCACAGTATTATACATATCTATGCACATATACAGTTGCACACACATATAGATTTTATGTTCACTCTTCTATATTTTGTTTCCTCACTCACTACCTCTCTTTTTTTGGTTTATTTATTTAAATTAGTTTCAAGTACACATCTATATAGTTCATAAAATGATCCCCCCATTGCTCCTTTCCTCCCCTGGCCCTCCACCTAGCCAACATATTAAAGCTAACTGCATTCTCTATACCTTACTCTCCATCCCCATGACCATCTATCAACTACTAATTTGTATTTCTTTAACCCTTCACCCCCTTCTTTCAGCCCCCCAACCCCCTTCCTTCTGTCCATCACCAAATTGTTCACTATATTTGTGTCTATTTTTGATTAGTTTGTTCCTTTTGTTCCTTAGATTCCTCATATAAGTGAAATCATATGGTATTTATCTTTCTCTGTCTGACTTATTTCACTCAGCATAATCACCTCTAGGTCCATCCATGTCATTGCAAATGGTAGGATTTCATATTTTTAATGGCTGAGTAATATTCCATTATATATATATGAACCATAATTTCTTTATTCAATCATTTGTTGATGGACATTTAGGTTGCTTCCATATCTTGGCTATTGTAAATTGTGCTGTCATAAATATTGGGGTGCACAGATCTTTACAAATTATTGTTTTGATTTACTTTGGATCTCACTACCTCTCTTGAAGTCCTCCAGAATAGTTCTAATTCATTCTTTTTTGAAGAAGAACAGCCCATTATATGAATATATCACAATATTTTAAACAATTTCACTACTGAGACATTTATTTTTAGTTTTTTGTTACTATAAACAATGTTGCAGTAAATAATACACACTTTTATAAACCGGATTTTAAATATCTTTGATATAGATTCCTAAGACTACGATTGCTGGGTCAAAAGGCATATGTCTTTTTAATATTAATAGATATAGCAAATTGCTTTCTAAAAAGGTTGTAAAATTGTACATTTATATCAGCAATTTATGCTTTTCTTTATATACTGCCAGTAGATATTACAGTCTTTTCTAAAATTTTGCCAGTCTGATAGATATTACTTTGATTTACTTTCCCCTGTACTAGTGAATTTGAGCATGTTTTTATGACTATAGGCCATTTGGATTTTCTCTTTTGTGAATTGTCTCTTCATATACTTTACATATTTTTCTATTGCTTGTTTTTCTATCGCCAATTTGTAAGAATTTTTTTGCTTTCTATTGTAACCCTTTATCTCTGATGCATGTTTTGAATATTTTTTCCAGAGCTCTTTTGTCCATTGACTTTGTGGTATTTTTGGTCATATATTTATATTTTGGTCATATATATGATCATTTGTGGTATTACAATAATATATAGCAAATAAAGATACATATATTATATGTAACATGTAATATATATACCAAATATATATATATATATACATATGTATACTAAAATCTTAAAATACAAAATACTAGTTGTTTGAGTCATTTAATTTATTAAAACAACACACAAAACAAAAACAAAAAATCCACATATTTTTCTTACTCCATTAAATATACAACTGTATTAAATAATTTTATATCCTGAGATCTATTTCTGGATTTTTTGTTCTACTAAATAATTTTTATTGTATATTTGTATAGCTGCTTCTGATAGAAAATGCTCTATTACTTATAATTTCTTTGTGTAATTTTCTTGGTTATCATTAGGCAATTATTCTTTCAAATTAACTATGTTATTTCACCTAGTCAAAAAACTTTCATTGAGATTCTAATTGGAAATAAATTAAATTTTCATATTAATTTTGGGAGACCATTTTTAAAAATGTATTGAGACTTTATATCCAAGAACATGTTTTCATTGGTTTCTTTTGCCTTTTATTAAGATTATATAGCTGTTTTATATAAGTTGTGTGTCTTGTTCTATAAAATTTCTCCCTATATTTTATAGTTTTAGCTACTTTTATATGTGGAATATTTTTTCTTATTTTTATTTCTAGGCTTTTAGTGGTAGAGAAGAGAAAAGCTGTTGACTTCTATCTAGCCAATTTCAAAGTTTTATTAATACTGTGCTTATTTTCTTTAATTTGGTGGGTTTTCTATATATACTATTATAGCATTAATAAAGTATAGTTTTTATCTCTTATTTTCTATTGTTTATAGTAGATATTTCTTATATTGTTCATTTGCTAAAACTTTTAAAGCAATATTTTTAAAAAATGGTGATAGTAGGTGCCTCTAATTTTTTATTATAATTAAAATTACTAACTTTTTGCCACTTAGGATACCGAAAGTTGTTGGTTTGGGGTAATCTTTAGGAGATTTCTTCTACTTTTGTTTTATTCAAAGTGTTTCTAAAAACAGCTGCCATATTTAATCATGTTCTTTTCAGTGACTACATTTGATTGCCAATTTTTTTCCTTTAATTTATTTAAGTATAGGATTAGACAGATTTCCCGATTTGAGACATTCTTGCTCTTTGTGCATGTGTTTACTTGCTACTCTTATAAATTCCTAGAGAAATATTTATCAAAATGTGTCAAATGTTAATAGCTATTACTTAAAAGGTTCCATGATCAAATTAATTTGAAAAACTCTGGACTAAGCAAAATTAAATGGTACTTCTCAGAACCATTAAAACTAATGGACATTGTTAACTTGCAAGAGATTAAGATACAAAAGGTTTAACAAACTTTATTTGACCATCTATTTTCCATATGCCATCCCATGGTACTATATTAGAGTAGAACTTTGGGAAATGCTAAAATAGAGATTATATACTAAGATTTGCAAATATTTTCAGCATATGAGACCAATTAAATAATGAGGGCAAGGGTGATAAGTAAAAGTCACAAGTATAGAATGCCAAAACCATTTGAAGAAAATAATTTAACATTTTGTGCCAGTTGTACTCACTTCTATTTATACAAGAATCTTGCTTGGGTAGACCCAAATTATTGATGTTTCTCATTATATAGACCCATCTTAGAGCATAGGTGGTCCAGAGGCTGAACATAATCCCAGCTTCAGCCAACTGTTAAAGTACAATTCTAGGAAATAATGCAACTGAATCTCTATCCAGCCTCTATTATGTGACCCATAGTATCATGACTATCATTACATGATAACATGGATGGACATTCATGACTAGAGCTTGTACACAGCACTTACCAATGACATATTCCACCCTGAAGAGATCTCTTCTGGGTTCGTATGGACGATTGAAGTCGATCTGGATGTAGAAAGACTGTCCTCTACGTACAATAAGTTTGTTGCTATCATACTTGTCAGTGTGATGATCTATTTTGTTGGTATCCCATCTCTCCTTGAACAGGTGAACACCCGTGACATTAAGGTAGTCTATGCATAAAGAAAAGAATTGAGGCAACTATTTAGTAACTTTGGTTTAAACACAAACTCAAGAAACAAGATTTTTTTTCTGAAGAAGGAAGGTCTGTTGGATAAAACTCTATACACAGGGCTAGTAGGTTTGAGAGTTAGTGTCTTGTGACATTCTTGCTTTCAAAGAGGGTATGTAACAAACTTTTTCCTTTCTGATCTCATTTCACACCACATGGCACTCACTTTGAGATAGATAGAGCAATGTTGATAATGTGTGTTGTATAGATCTCGATACAGAGAAACTAGGACTGAAGTTCAAGTGTTCACATTCCCAGTCTCATGCTACTTTTCCTTATGTCAGGTATTTTCCTGGTGACCACCGCCTCACTGCTTCACTAACTAGGGATAAGCATGGAAGAGCAACTTTAAATATCTAAAGGGGAGGAATGAGGAATTAATCAGGCAGCCTCAAAGGATGTTCTAAGGACAGAGATGACCATTAATCCAAAATTCTCTTCTTACTTCAAGAAAGGTCAAATACCTCTTCTTTTGTAATTCTAAAAGTAGATCTTGTACCGCAAAGGCAGGCAAGAGAGGGAACAGGTGTGGAGAATAGATACTAATACTTCTACGAGATAGATATGATTGTTCTCACTTTACACGTGCAGAAACAAACCTCATATTTCCCTAACTACAAGTCAAATCCTAGTCTGAAGCCAAAACCTAAATATTTTCCCTCTCATTTTTGTAAGTGGGAATATAAATGTCAATAATACATTTATCTGTGATAGCACTGGATAGATGTTAGATCTCCTTCTGCTTTTTCCCTATTCCTTCTGAAAATGATCACTTGATGTGAAGGTAACTTTAACTACCTAACTACATTGTAGTTTAGAATATCAAGTCTAGCGACAGATATTTGTGTGTGCATATGCAGTGCTCATGGGGCACTGGGGAGAAAAGCCTGGGTGGGGGATGCACTGGCCTCTTGCCTTCCCTCCATTTACCTGACCATACAAGCTGTATGGTTTGCCTTAAAACTATGAACACAGTGTGCACGGAATGAACAACTACTGAGCTTGTGCTGGTTCATCATTTTGCAATACTCCAGTGACTTCCTTTGCTTTTGCACAGGAATCCTGTGTAGGATGCCTGGTTCTCTCCAGCCTCATTTTTCTTCTCATTGGGAAAACCAAGAAGTTGGGCTTATTAAGATACTTGCCAGTTCTAAACTGTAGGAGTCCCTGAAACACTCTTAATTCATTCAAAGTTCAGGTAATCTTAAGTTTAAATCTCAGGTCTCATAATTACTTAGGTAAGAGACATTCCTCTCAGAAGCCGAATTTCCTCAACTTTAAAATGTGAATACTAATACCTTAATAATTTTTGTGAAGATTCAGTGACATAATGATGCAATGTATCCAGCACATAGTGGGTCATAGGCTTACTTATGGATCATTGAATATGAACTTTGATGGAACCAATTTATATTTTACATGGTGTAGTGCTCAATGGGCTATTCTGACTGTAACACTGCAGCAAACAGAAAGTAAAAGATGCAGTTTTATTTTTACTTCATCTCAGAATCTTGCCATAGTACATGGTCCCCTGAAGGGCACTTCCCTTCCATTATGCTGTGGACTAAAAGTGTTTAATTCTCTAGACCACTCTCTTATAAGCTGCCTTTCCCTTAAGTTCTCTAGCCTTATTAAGGTCACAATCCCTAGTGTTAAACCAGCTTCAGGAAGAGCTGAATAAGAAGGGGTCAAGATGGTGGAGTAGGAAAATCCTTAACTTACCTACTCTGACAGATACACCAAAACTACAACTACAAATAGACCAACTTTCTTTGAGGATGACCAGAAGACTAGCAGAATAGATTTTCTACAACTAAGGATATAGAGAAAAAGCCACATTGAGAATGGTAGGAGGGTCTAGTCAGGACCCACACCCCTTCTGTGGCATCACAAGGGATTTCACAACCTTGGAGGTCTCCCTCGTGTAGTGATAGATCTGAAACCCACATTGAGCTCCCCAGCCCAGGAGAAACTTCACCAGGAAGAGGAGTTCACAGAACATCTGGCTATGAAAACCAGTGGGGCTTATGTCCAGAAGAGCTGAGGGCTTTAGGAAACCAATTCTGCTCTTAAAGGACTTGAGCAAAAACTTACTCTCTAGGAGTTCCAGCATTGTGTCAGCAGTTTGAAGAGCTCCTGGGTGATATTGAAGGAGATACACTGACTGATTTTAGGGTGAGTGCTGCAAGAGCAGGAATCTGTTGAAGCTTCTCTAGGGACAAAAGCTCTGGCAAATGCTTTTTTTTTTTTTAATACTCCTAGCTGGCATGGACCTGGCAGGCACCATTTCTAACACTATTCATTAACTTTGCTAATACTGTTCACCTTGCCCCAGTTTTCCCCTGAGATCCCACTCTGCCCAATCTGTCCATCCAACCCAACACCTCTCCAAAGCAGCTTCTACACTGCTACATCTATGGGATAACCTCTTCCAGCACTGGTGCCCCTCCAAAGAGGCCCCAGCCGCACCCTACCACATCTGGTAGGCAGTTTCAGCCAGGACCAGTGCCCCTACAAAACAACTCCCACTCTGAGGAGATAGCTCTCACACACCAGCATGCCTACAACAACTGGGGCAAGCTATGCAGCCAGTCATGCTGGTGGTCTGCCTTCACACCAGCACACCCATAGCAATTGCGGCCAACTCTCACAGTCAGCCAGGCCAGGGACCAGCCCTGCCCACCAGTGCACCCACAATAGTTATGCCTGAGCCTCACAGACAGCTGGGACTGTGGACCAGCCCTGCCCATCAATACATCTGAAGCAGTTGCAGCCAGGTCTCACAGCCAATCACCTTGGGGGTCAATCTTGCCTACCAGCATGCCTGTAGCAACTGTGTCCCAACCACAACAGGAGAGAGCATGTAACCCACACAGGGGACAACCTTGGAGCACCTGGCTCTGTTGAACAGGAAGTATTACACTACTGGGCCCCATAGAACACTTTTTATGTAAGGCCACTCTTTCAATACAGGAAGACATAACTGATCTGCCAAATATCTAGAAACAAACAGAGAGTTGGGCAAAATAAACAGACAGAAAAATATGTTCCAAAAGAAAAAGAACAAGACAAAAAAAAAAAAAAAAAAAAAAAAAAAAAAAACCAGAAAAGGAAATAAACAACATAGAGATAAGCAGTCTACTAGATAAAGAGTTAAAAAAATAATGATCATAAGGATGCTCACCAACTCAGAGGAATGAATGAACAGTTGAGAACATCAACAAAGATATAGAAAATATAAAAAAGCACCAATTGAAACTGAAGAATATAATAGCTGAAATAAAAAAGAATACACTAGAGGGAGTCAACAGCAGATTAGATCATTCAAAAGAACAAATCAGTAATCTAGAGACATGGCAGTGGAAATTACCCAATCAGAATAGTAAAAAGTAAAAGAATTTTTAAAAATTAAAAAGATAGTTGAAGGGACCTCTGAGACAACATCAAGCCTACCAATACTCACATTATAGGGATCCCAGGAAGAGAAGTGAGAATGAAAGGTACAGAAAACCTTTTTGAAGAAATAATGGCTAAAAATTTCCCTAACCTGGTGAAGGAAACAAGCATCCAAGTCGAGGAATTACAGAGTCGCAAACAAGATGAACCCAAAGAGACCCACAACAAGATATATTAGAATTAAAATTTCAAAAGATAAAGAGAGAGTCGTAAAAGTAGCAAGCAAAAAACAACTAGTTAAGTACAAGGGTACACCAAAAGACTCAGCCGATTTTTTAGCAGAAATTTTGCAAGCCAGAAGAGAGTGGCACTAAATTCGAAGCGATGAACCTATAACTGAGAATACTATACCTAGCAAAGTCATTATTCATAATTGAAGGAGAGGTAGTTTCCCAGACATGCAAAAGCTAAAGGAGTTCACCACCACTAAACTGGCATTACAAGAAATGTTAAAGGGGCTTTTTTTTAAGTGGAAAAGAAAATGCCAATACTAGAAATAAGAAAATATATAAAAGAAAAAAACTCTCACTGATAAAGTAAAACATATAGTAAAGGTAGTGGCCAAACCACTTATAAAGCTAGTATAATTGTTAAAACACAAAGTAGTACAATCATCTACATCTGCAATAATTAAGGAATACACACACAAATATATGAAAAATGATGTCAAAAGTATAAAACAAGGGAGGCAGAGAAAAATGTAGTGCCTCTAGAATGCATTCAAACTTAAGCAAACATCGACTTAAAATGGACTGCTATATACACAACTTGATATCTATGATTACATGGTAACTATAAACCAAAAACCTATAATAGATACACAATAAGTAAATACAAAAGAATCCAAACATAACATTAAAGAAAGTTATCAAATCACAAGGGAAGAAAGCAAGAGAAGAGTGGAACAGAGAAAAACACAAAAATCAAGCAGAAAACAGTTAACAAAATGGCAATAAGTACATACCTATCAATAATTATTTTAAATATAAATAAACTAGATGCTCCAATCAAAACGCATGGAATGGCTGAATGAATAAAAAAAGATCCATATAAATGCTGCCTATGAGAGAGACACTTCAGATCAAAAGACACAGACTAAAAGTGAAGGGATGTAAAAGATATTTCAAGCAAATAAAAGAAAAGAAAGCTGGAGTAGCAATATTTACATCAGACAAAATACACTTTAAAACAAACTGTAACAAGAGACAAAAAAAGGGCATTACATAATAATAAAGGGATCAATCTAACAAAAGAATATAAGACTTGTAAATATCTGTGTACCCAATATAGAAGTGCTTAAATGCATAAAACAAATATTAACAGATATAAAAAGGGGAGATTGACAGTAATACAATAGTAGTAGGAAACTTTAACACCCCACTTACATCAATGGATAGGTCATCCAGACAGGAAATCAACAAGGCCTTGAAAGACACATTTGAACAGCCTAAGTGTGTGTGTGCGTGTGTGTATACACACGTATAT